GCGCTTGATACTCCCTGCTGATAAAGCTCATTGAATCTGAAAATAATAATAGTCAGGATCACGGGCGGGGACTATGTACCCTGAAAGTTGTGTGGGGGGATAATGTGCGGTAGAATCTGATCCACGTAATACGAGGGTGCTGGTGTAGCGGCGGAATAAGATGTTGCTTCCTGACCGACGAAGTAGGATGTTCCCTGTTCGCTGCGGGTACGCAGTATGTTGCGTTCCTGAACCGCGAAGTGATAACGGTATCAGGTGCGGGAGGAAATGTGCCATTGGTTGGGTACAGCAGGAATCAGGAATATAGTAATGCTGGATTAGTACTTGAATACATGGTAACACAAGGACTTGCTCAAACAACCAACTCGAGTGTTTGCTTTCTACCTGTTAGCTTAAGTATCTGTTCATGACCTCTCGTTGAGGTGTTGTGTTTGGCCAGAGGGCTCTCAAAGTGATAGAGAAGTCATTACCGGGCCAATATAGAAGGCCAGAGGGGCATTACCTGAACTAACCCGCCGAAGGCAGGCAATGAGATTCAGCTATATGCAAGAATGCACTTTGTAAGCGTATGGGTTTCCACGAGACCTTCTTGAAGCTTCTTGTCATGAACTCTTGTATGACCGGATTTACATTTTTTTCTATCGATTACTTGAATATTGGTTAGCTAAAAGCTTATACCATTCTATTGAGTTTGTCAGGTAGCGCTACCTTATCGTACTACTTCTTCGTAAGCCTTCACCTTAATCTTTTTTTTTCTTTTTCGTAAGCCTTCACCTTAATCTGTTGGGAGTTTTCACTCAATTTGTGCCGATCTTGAAAAGCTCGTGCCCGCCTCGGCTAACGTGCCTCGGCTTAATGAGGTCGCTTCGCACCTCGCTAATTATGCCTCGAATCATAGGTGCGAGACAAGTCATTAACGAGGTCAAGCGTACCAATTTCTACTGACCCTCGGACAGCAATCCTAGTAACAATCACGTGCCGGTATCCTCTATAACTTGGAGACTCCGGAATATTCGACATTCACGGAGAATCTCTGAAAAACTTACTCGACGATTGAAGCATGAAGCGGATTGATGGTACGGTTCGACTTCGCCTCGACTGAAAGATTTCGGCGACTCATCGAATCTCTGAAAACGGAGCTTTCTAGAAGTGCGCCAGTACGGGACCGTTCTCTCTGTTGTCATCAGCTGTTCAGGAATCTCAGATAGGGTTGTTTATCCTGTGCTACCAAGACTACTCAGACCGATGTGGAACCATCCGGCCTGGGCCGAAGACCGTGTTCTTCTGGGCTCCCGTCATGAAATGGAGTCTTGTATTGGCTGGCATTGCAGATTTTGCTCGTCCAGCAGATAAACTCTCACCTGCTCAGGTAAGATCCATGGTCCTGAAAGGTATGCTCTACGATTACAGACGATGGGAACTACGAAGGAAAATAGTGAAAACGTCTCAAATGGAGTCCACCACCTGTAATTCGAGAGTGTGTACGCACTTCGCTATCAAGTGCCTTCATCGCGAGAATCGCAAGGTGTTAAACACTCTTAGGCTGCGTTCACACTTGGCAGCAGCGTCACCAGCGCTCACCAGCGACCATCAGCGTGCGAGCGTCCGTCAGCGTCAGCGATTAGAAAATTATAGATATTGATCAGCAAACGGCAGCGTCTACCAACTTTGCGCGCGTCCGCCGGCGACCATCAGCTTCCGGGGGAATAAAAAGTAAGGATATCGATTCAGCATCTATCAGCGTCCACCAGTGACCAAGAGCGTCCACCAGCAACCAGGAATATGGTGTTGTGCAGTAGTAGGTTGCGATTGCACACGCCGCCATTTCACTGCGCCTAATCCAGCTGTGTGCGAACTCCTATTTCCCCATACTCTACCAGCAGTCTGCTACTCTCCTACTTCCCTCGTACTCTCTTCTCCTGGCCACTGCTGAGAGCTGGTGAAAGCTATATCGATATGCATGCTTTTCCAGTCCCTCGGAAGACGCTGATGGTCGCTGGTAGACGCTGTCACACCCTGCATCAATATCTATTCTTTCCTAGTCTGCTGAGACGCTGATGGTCGCTGGTGGACGTTGGTGGACGCTGGAAGACGCTGTCGCAAAGTATCAACACACTTTTCAGATCCTGGCGCAGAGTTGGACAGCAGGCGGGTCACCGACCACGTCCTCTCCGTTAGCAAACACAGCAACAAACACAGCATGGGCAGTCCCAAAACATAACGAACTGATGTGGCCCGGCCCGACCATATTCTGCCTATAGACGATTACAGTCCCACTGTATCACTGCGCCTCTCAGATTGTCACTCTCAAGCAGTATGTTGTTACCTTGGCACTATTTACCCTTTACTGCCCCAACCATCCAGAATTGAGCCAGTTTTTGACCGATTTTTTCTCCGTGGACAGATTTGACTCAAATGTTGTCTCCTGGGGTAGTTTGACCTTCTAAATATATCACATTCGCTCAGCCCGAAACTTCCTGGCGCCCGCGCCACAGGCGCCGGTTGGGGTATTCTGGCGCCAGCGCCTGTAGCGCGGGCGCCAGGAGGTATCGGGTCGAGCGGATGTGATTTCGTGTTTAGGAGGTCAAACTACCCCAGTTGACAAGTTTTCAGCGGATTTGGTGATTTAGAGTATTCTGCCGCCGGCGCCTAAGGTTTCGTGCCTAGCGGATGTGATATTCATGTTCAGAGTCAAAATACCCCAGGAAACAAATTTTTAGCCAATTCTGCCAACGCAGAAAAAAGTCGGTCAAAAACTGGCCTGTTTTTGGAAGATTGGGGCAGTAAAGGGTAAATATTTCGCCTGTTGCCGCACTCTGTGCCACAGGAGCCGTCTGGGCACGATATAGTTTTGTTATTATTCCGGTAAATTACACATTGGCTAGTGTAAACATCTTTTCTGATGTGTGTCGGCTTGACACAACTTTGCCGAATCGCTGATTACAGGTGATTTTTAAATACTTACACTCATTGGGCTCCGTGCAATTTCACGCTGATCGAGTGGGCGGATCCGCGACCATTGCGACTTCCTCATTGGTGTTCTCCTCTGGTCATTCCAAGAGTAGAAACTTGTTACGCCTGAACCTAACGTGATGCGATTCGTAACGAGCGCCGCTTGGTAGGTTTGGCCAAGCAAGTACGCACCCAAAACCGCACAGATAGTAGAACTAAGGGGTGCGGGTCGCCTCCGAGATACGGTCCATTTGCCCCTTGGCACCTGACTGGAAATCAAAGCAGGGCAACAAAGTAGGGGCCCATTGGCAGCGAGACTACGCCACGCCCACTTCCTGCTCCCCTCCCCTCGCTCGACGAGACGGAACTCGGTGACCTCAGGTTGTTACCGAGTTGAGCAGAGACCAGCAAGTGATCGGCGTGTCTTTCTACTGCCCCTCCGAAAGCTAACGCCACTGAATTGTCATGATCTTGAGTAGAGACTGAAGGTTTTGCAGTCAATGAATTAGCCGTTTTCTTCCGAAAAATCGCGGTTTTGCAGAAGAAAACATCCCGATGCAGTCGGACCTGCTCCGCAAGATGTTTCGAGAGGCCACTAAAATAGAATCTGTAGTTGTAATTCTTCATCTAATTCAATAAAACTGGTCAGTTAGTTGTCAGAAGTACAGAAGCTATTATATGGACAAACATCTTCAGAAAGGAACAGTTATATGAAATATGCAATGCCCTACCCTGCAATGTTATGGTCTCGGACAGAAACGGTAAAACCACGCGGCGTCGCGCGCGACAATTGCAAATACCGTATGGTTACGATCGGCGCGCACTCGCGGTGGTTTTATTATTGCCACAGTGACATTTCGCTGCTACTTTTCCAACAGGACGGACACGACAATAAGTACTATTTTTGACAGTATGCTGTTCAAAAGCACTGTGAAGTCATCTGATAAGGGGATTAGCCAATAAGGTGAATTAACTCGCGAGCAGAACTGTGCAGGTTTCTCTGCACCGTAATTGCCATGTGATCACGCTAATTATGCAAATCAAACAAAATCTAACGGTCACGACAGGCCGGGTCCTACTAGAGTGTACTAGAGTGAAGAGCGTGGCTGAAAACTGAAGCTAACGCAATCTTCCTACTATATATAATCTGCTTTTCGTACAAGTATAATCTACTAAGTGTGTGTGATGTGTGGTGTGGCTGGTGCTGTGTGTGTGTGTGTGTGTGTGTGATGTGTGTGTTGTGTGTGTGTTGCTGTAGTGTGGGTTTTCCTGTGTCGTGTCCGTGTTATGTAAATTGTGTCACGAAATTCATAACACCTGTCCCAGTGGCAGAGAAATGTTGGTTCCAGGAGGAAGTGTAACGGGAACACCATTGGTGGGAGGTAGTAGGTGTTATCAGCTGCATAAGTATCTGATAAGGGCGCTCCAAAGGATTGCCTCACCCAGTCCGTAGCGAGGGCTCACAGAACAAGTGGCGAGCGTTAGTTACCAACGATTAAATACTAATAAGCCTGTGACCGAACAACATTATGTTGTTGACAGGGAAGTGTCTATCATGAAAAGAATCCGATTGGAATGGTACAGGAGGAGAGTGTGACTAAAGTCTATCACCGGCCACAGCCAATGGCGGGACCGTTAGTTCCCAAAGATATGTTATCGGGCTAGTAGGGCAGGAACATTATTGCGTGAGTAACATGCTGGCAGTTATAAATTGCATAATCGGGGAGTTAGCAATGGACGACCGGCTGCCATGATATATCCAGCCCCCGAGACGTAACACTCAGCTGGGCGTGGATTCCCGAAGCAGATGATACAGCGGAGACGTGGGAACGTCAAGGCAGTGACAGAAGTGATACAAAACGGATCTATTAAGGCAAACGTATACCTTTGCTGTCAAGTCGCAATGCAGCCTTCTACACTTTAATGGTTTGCTGCGGATACATATATACATATACGCATGTACGTTGTCAGCGGGGGACGCGCTGGGGCGTGGAAGGGGTAATATAGCGCAGCTGAAACGGGAAATCGAGAAATTCATAAATCAAAAAATAATCAAAAACATTTTCGCAAATCTGCCTGTTATGTGATGTGTTGAGAGATGGCGGTCGCAATTGAAGCAAAATAAGGAGGTAACTCAATAATGGGGAGTGCGGACGTCCCTGTAGGGTGGGTAACATTCGTCTCTCTACGACATAACCTTGACGTGCTACGAAAGCAGTAAAGTTACTTCTTTTCAATATCCACCCAATGACTCTGCAGATTATGGCTGCTTCAGGAATGATAAAATTATCATCCCGGAGACAATTCATACTTTTTTTTCGTCGCAACGGCGCTCCTTGATATATAGGTCAGCCTTTCACTGTGAAAAATGTGTAAAGCAAGCAAGCGACGTTGAGTATTGGGGATAATGACTGTGCATTTAGACTATTTTCAATTTCTATGTTTCCTAATTTTTATAAACACAATAAACTGCCATCATTTGGAACACTTTTAGCGTTTCTACTCGCCGAGGGAAGGTTCCTGGCCGAAGCCAAGTCGGCCAGCGCGAAGCCGGCCCAGCGAAACAAGAGAGAACCTCGCGCTGCAGCGCGCTGATCCTACTCGCTATTCCATACTACATCATGTTTATCCGCCGGCGCTGCAGGTCCATTGCAAGGCAAGCGGATTGTGAGATTGCTTTAGGCACGCCGAGTCGCGTCGGCCTGAAAGCACCGTTTTCCTTGGCGGTGGGTTGGTATTATTACACTATTCGCACTAGGATCCAGATACTACTCATCGTGGCATGGTGGGGGATGTCGACTCGTCTTCAATGTGTTGTGTCGTTCTCCACAACTAGCTTAGTAAGGCGATATAATACCCGCGATTATCCGCAAGGAGGGCAATACTAGGTGGCCAAAAAAAGTCACTTTGACCAAGTCACATATCAGCAAAGTTTTTGCAGCCCAGACAGAGGACGTGGATACGAGTACCAGGGCGGAGGATACCCAAGATGTTCCTCTATAAACAGGAGCTGGCTCACGCCCACCACCTTCATGTACACCAAAATATGAAGTCATCTCCAGTCGCAACCTGACTGGAGAAGACCTTCGGAATTCATGTCACCTCCAAACAGCTGCGAAACTTCTAGTGTGGAGTCACCCATGGCTACCTGGAGACCAGTACTCTCGATCTGGATGACCTCCAACATCGAGCAGCTCCGACAACGTCGCTACGGTCTAGGACATCATCTTCACCGCAGTCCAAGGCGCGGGTTGATGGTATGGACCGGACGTACCTGGAATGGAAAGACCGATATTTTCTTTGTAGACCCGGACTGAAGGTGAGCGCTGCGGTTACATCAAGTAACTCGAGAAGAAATATCTTCTCCACATGCCGTCCCCGTACCTTCTTGGAAACTTTGTACTGCTACAGCATTGGGTGCCACCACGTGGAATCGAAGGGCGTTGGAGAAACTCTCGCCTACCTGGAATGGAAGGGGGCTGAGTACCTAAAGAAGATGGAATATCTAAGTAGGTCACCTGACCTGAATCCCCTCAATTACCCGGTTCGATCGCAGTTCAATAGGGTGGTCTACGGTGGCGGAGAAATCGACCATCTCGCTGATCTCAGGGACCACATCGCGGTTGCGTGCCAGAATCTCTCGATGGCGCTCCTCCAGAAGGCTGTGGCGGAAGTGTCATAATAGTATTTGATATCTCTGTTAATATCCGGTGCCGTTTAGAAATTGCCGATCAGATTTATAAAGTAGAAGCTTATAGCCCCTCGAAATCAATTGACAGCCAAAGTGACTTTTTTGGCCACCCTGGAAAACGTATTACGAGTGTAGTAACCTCGCTGGACGTCGGTGTAGCGGATGGTTCCGGCGCGTCGCCAACCCGTTCTCCACCACTGCTCAAGCAAGTGATATGACTGTATCATATCGTTCGTATTACTCGTTTTCTACCACTTTTTGTCGCATGCGCGCTTCAACAAGAAGGCAGAGAACGGCTTTGACGGGTGACACACTCATACTGCCTGACACGCCCAACCGTCCGCAGCGACCAAGAGTGTATTGGTCTGAGGAATCGGTGAGTTGGAGAACTGATGATTGCGCAAAAATGACTATATATTAATGTATTGCTCCGCCCATGGGGGAACGGCGAATCAGAGACCCGATGGGTCGGAGAATTGAAGAATCGGCGAATGGGAGAATGGAAGAATCAGAGAATAGGAAATCAATTGACAGCTATCTGATCTTTTTCACTCTTCCACTGTTTTTTTCCTTGTTCTGCCAAGTCGCAAGCTATGAGCGGACTCTGAGGGAAACCGGCCAGGATGGACAAGGTATGGACGAGTTGTCTGCTCTAAAAAGCATGCATTAACGTGTTGCGACAAGTCAGACATGTCAATGGCGTTTTATCGCGTCATACGACATCCATAGCAACACCCTTTTTTATCCAGCTGTTGGCCTTGGGCTTTCCCTTCTCACTTTATATTACTTTTCATGCGAGTATATCGTCCAATGTGCCCGGGCCACTTTGTGAACTCCTGTGTGTCGGTCTGATGTAGTGCACTTCAAGCCATTTCATTAATTTTAATGCCGCAAAATGCAAAAAAAGAAAACAGTTGCAGATCAAAGAACGAGGGTTGTTTTCTGTAGTTATGTAGGGAGTGTTTCCTTATTTCATTGAAGATGAAACCTCTATCTTGCAATCACAACTTTATTGGACTTTGAAGTAGAACTGGTATATTGAAGTAGCGCTCCACCGTTCAGCACTTTCTGACAGCTTGTATTTCAGGAGTGTTATCACAGATATCGAATGGATAATCTGACGGCAGATACGATCACTCCACTTGCACAGCGTTTTTTCTTCCTCAGGGTAGTCCGTCGAGTTTACTCGATTGGTTTCAGTCGATTTACTTGTATCTGATCTTGAGTTTCCAGAGAAACGTTCCTCTCCATGGGAAGGTTTAATGATTGTTTTTTGCTGCTGCGCTCAGAAATGCACAGTCTTTTTCTGGGGCGTTTCAGGTATGCTGGGACGCTGGGGCGTTTCAGGTATGTAGGGGGAAGGGGAAGAATCCGGTTTGATGCGCCGCCCCCCCCCCTGTTCTCCACAGTTCTGTTCGTCGCCCGCTTCATGATTGACTGCTCAGACAGGCTAGGCGAACGTCAAGTCAGCGGATCACATTTCGCGACGGCGGCGCATTGCGCCGCGCATTCGATGCGAACCGATTTCGGGCGTGGTACACTGTGCGTCGAAAATTCCAGATGTACATGAAGATTTCAGGGATTAAAGTAAAGAGGTTATTAATTGACACAAGGCAGGCATCAGTTTGAAAAAAATAGGGCAGGAAGATTAAAATAAAATGCAAAGCTAACAGGAGGAGAAAGAAGGAAAAAGTAAGCAAAAACGGCTGTGAATTAGCATCCGTCCAGTCGATTTTTGCATTGGAGCGCAATAAGTCGCGCAAAAACAACTGTTAGCGAGCGTGAGCGACGTCGGATCGTACGCGTCGAGCGATTGACGCAGCGTAGGCGGCCGCAGCCGAGCTCAACGCAGTCGCGGGTAGTGAACGCATGACTAACCGTTGTCTGAGCCCCTCCCCCCTCCGCTGCGTCTGCAACAAACAGACTGATGATTGTATGATTGCCATAGCAGTAGTAGATCAATCTTGCGTCGAACCATCAAAGGTGCAGTATACGCTGGTCTCTGGGTGGAGACAGTTTTCCATTTGTGAACGGTGAATCCTTTGAAGGGACGTTCTAGTGTTTGGTTGCTGAGGTCGCACCATGGGAAGCGGTTGAAAAAACCGTAATTTGCCGCTATGTCGCGCGCGGCGATGGACATGGCGTTATATCGAAGGCAGTGCCCGCGATCGGATTTTCTGAGTAGTGGTGCTCAAATAGCTATGTAATTACGCCAAGAAAGTCACAGGTGGAGAAGATACAAAACGCCCCCAAATAAAACTCCCTAGGAGGCGCAGTTGTACGAGCAGAAGGCAATCAAAGGTGATCAATGGTGATCGAGATCAATGGGCGAATGGTGTTGTGGCCGGTGGCCTGCCGCAATCAATCAATGACCATCTTCTCACTGGCAACAATGTCCCTGCCTATGTCCTTTTGCAGGTCTTCTGTTATTACGGCCGAGTAGAGCGCCAGGGCGGGTCAATGAATGTACGTTGGGCCAATGAGAGGAGCGACGTCATCCTCAGCTCCTCACTCGCTTTTGCGCCCCGAAAATGGTGCAGTTGTTGCATCTGCTCACAAAGGAAGAGGGAAATTTCAGGGTCGCGGGCACTGCCTTTGACTTGCATTTGCCAGTCTGGAGCAGTGAATGCCATGTGGACTACGATATGATAGACTATTATTGCTGTTTTTGGTTGCACTTTGTCTACAGTCGCCTTCTACGACCTAAAAACATCGCCATTTCACAGGCGCGACGTCGCATGTGGCTCCCACCAAGCGCGGCGAATTACGCTTGTCTTGGCATATATTCTCGGGTATGTGGCAAGAGAATCGTAATTCGCCGCGCCAGTGGGCGTCGCGTGCGACGTCGCGCCCTGCTAATGACGACGATTTCAGGTGGTATTGGTCGAGAATAGACAATGTATGACCAAAAATAGACATAAGTGTCTATCCCAGCTGCAGGCGACGAAGCGGCTTTTACGACTCTCGTGCGCGCTCCCCATATTTTTGTGACACTTACGTCGCGCACGGCGGATCGTGCGCTCTGTATGCGTCCATTTCAGAATCGCGACGATTGGGGCAGAAAATCACATCTTAAATATACCCACTATGAAGAGATCTTACTATCAAGGCGCAATAAGATTTCTGACTAAAACGGAAGAGTTCCCACTTTTTTTGCAAAACCCTTGAAAATAAACATTGCAGGACATTGATCGATGCTTCCACACAAGGCGCTCTATCGATTTCTGTGTAAAGTGGGAGATGCGGTTGTATATCCTGTGCTGCCAGAATTTGCGAAACCGGTCTGGAATCATCCGGCTGGACCGAAGACCGTCTTTTTCTGGGGTCCGATCATCAAGTGGGGTCTTGTTATAGCCGGTATTGCCGATTTGGCTCGGCCAGCGGATAAACTCTCTGTCTCTCAGGTAAGCTTTGTTCAGAGGGCACAGCTCACTTTTGCCTTTTGATTAACCCTGCTTTACAACGCATCTTGATCCATCATGCTATGCCATCGGAAAAAAGAACATATTCCACGTGAGAGGGTCGCCCAACCGAACTTCGCGGCATTGGGTCTCAATCCCGCCTAGGGAAACGAAGCCGTTCTCTACTACCACGTGGAAAACTTCTCCTCTTTTTCTTGGTAGGACCCCTTCTTCAAAATCCGTGAGAGAGTGGGACCTTGGACAAAGAACTACCAGAAAGTTAAACTATGGAACCGCAGAAAAGCAGCAGTGGGTGGCGGAACTATAGTCATTATCCCGCAAACGATAGTACGTGTGACGAGGCAGGAGTTGGAACAGCCTTTCCAGCCAGTCACGCGTATTCGTTGCGGACTCAGGATGACTGTCCTGGGATGGAAAGGCGCATTGGCGGTACTCCAATCCACGCCAGCTCTTAAAGCCTATCATTTGCGAGGGGAGAGCGCAACTATCATACCGCGTGTTCGAAAGGAAAAAAAAGAAAGATGTCAACGCTTCACAAAGTTTGTCAGCGAATAAGTACAACACTCAGGTTCGCTTCCGAGGCGTATAAGGCTGTCTGCGCTGCAATTACACTACTTTGACGTCTGTTGCTGCTATTTCCTCGCTCCTCTTGGCGACACAACCTGACTGCAACAAAAGGAGCCAACTGACGTTGGACACCAACGCGAATTCACACTAAAGACGTTGCGAGCAAAGATTCAGCTCCCTGTTTTTTTCCCGGTAGAACCACTTAATGCGTGGGCATGCTCTTTATAATCCCTGTTCAGAATATGGCCCTTGCTGCGACGGGAGCGATTTGGACACGATACAGTTTCGTAATCATCCCAGTCAACTACAATTTGGCCAGTGTGAATTTCTTTGTGATGTGTTCCGGTCTTTCACAACTCGCTCGAATCGCGCTCATTACAGGTGATTTTTCCGGAAGAATTACTAATTATGATCATGCAAAGTGAAATTTTGAAGCAGCAAGAGCAAATCGACAACCCACTGGAACCTGTAGCGGTCCAACTGGAAACTCAGATGCGCGTGGGCTAATAGCGCGCACGAGGTTGTCAAGTCGCAGTCGCGTTAGCGGCGGCATCGTCACGCGCTGTGACGTGGCGAAAATATACGCCCAATGCGCACAAAGCGCGTCGAAGGCGATGACAATCGCGAAGGACTCCAACGCGTATTGAAGCGAACGCAGCCGCAGACGGGAATCGATCAATGCCGCCGCTTGTATTTTGATAAGGTCTGGAGGAATGGGAGGGTACGCGTTGTTTAATCACACAATGTAATATCAAGGAACGTGTTTAGTGTCTAGTGCTTTGAGGACATGAAATATGAGGGGACAGATGTGTGTGAAGGCAGCCACTACCCTCCTGTTACTCTATACTCTTCCAAGACGCAAGCTGCAAGCGCCAATCGATCCCCGCCTGCAGCTGCGCTCGCGTCTATAGCACTGGAGCGTCCTTGCAGTGGTGGCGTCGTACAACGCATACGACATCGCGAGTTTGGACGCTGGCCTCCGGCTGCAATAGTGTCTTGACGATGCAGGTACGAATGCCAGACGCCGATCGGGAATTTAAAAGATTTCAAGGCACTCTTATTTGAGAAGAATTTTCGAGGCACGGGACCTCGTTGTTGGGGACTCCCCGACGCGGGGAGAGGGTGCGTATTTGTCGGTAGGAGAGTGAGGGCGTATTCTCGCTTTCTGCCTTCCGCGACCTAAAATTGGTTGGCTGACTTGCTGACTTTCCTGATTTCATGTGTACTTAACCCCCCCGCGCGACAGCAAAATTTTTGGGAAAGACTGGGGAAGTTTCGGGAATTTCCGGAAGGAGTACTAGGAATTTGGGGAAAATCTAAATCTAAGAAATGACAAATAGGCGGCGGGTCGTGTTTCCCTCGCACGTTTGCGCTTGTTTCACACGTCGGCTATTTACCCCCCCTTCCCCTTTTAGGAAGCAATAGTCAACCCCTAGAAAAGAGAGGGTCGCCAGCGGGACTCGAACCAAAAAAGTTCTCAACCAAGTGATAATGCCCTGATTTGACCAGTTATTATCCAATCGTGTGTGAACGTGCGGTTCGCCACTAAATCCGTCATTAGCAGAGGAACACATCCAGAAGCTACGACACCTAAAACCACCCCGGGAACACATTGACTCAACATGTGTTGTTGCAAAATTTAATCAAAATAAATAAAGCTCATGAAGAACAGCTCTCGGGAACGTTCTCATTAATTCCTGAAGTAGTTATTCCAGTTCACACATTTCACATGATCACAGCTGAACAGGAGCAACAAGATGGAGTGACGGTGTTCAGATTGTTGGGAAGGGGGAGGAGAGATGGGAAGAGGGTGTGGTAGTCGACGAGGCGAAGGAAGCCGTGTAAGCGAGATGCGCAGGGCATTTCGGCCGCAGGACCTATCTGATCAATCTTGGCAATGCGTTGTGTCAAACTAGCTAGAAGAACTTTGCTAGTTTGAGTGCTATGCCGCGACTTGGGTAGACACTACATACCCTGCTTCGGAAGTGAAATAGTCACTTTGTACCGGCGTTATACCTATCCACCTGGCTTGCCTTTTCACTTATTTGCAGAAAATACTGGTCCCAACATGGTCCCACAGGGAAAAACCGGACTGCTTCGCAGTGTTACGGGGGAATGCTATGTGTATTAGTCTGACGGAATTCACGTGACAACGCTTTTCACGTGCCAGGGTATCAATCGTTTATGGGCGAAAACCCATCGGGAAGGGGGGAGTGTCGTAAACGCAGGCTCGGTTATGCATCAAAGTAGACATAAAGTGTGATCGCTAAGTTTCGATGGACGGCGAACAGCAGCTGCAGAGGAACCCGGATGTAAGGAAGACAAAAGTTTTAGAAGCTATGATTAGCAATACAATTGTTAGAGCTCCGTGATTTACGTAAGCTGACTGAATAATATCATGCTCAAAAACAGGTGCGTGGCGTATCGACCTTTCAAACCCATTCCTACAAACTCTGCGTTGCATGGATCAAAAACGCACCTAAAATCGAGAAACTTACCCTTTTCCACCACCCTCTTTGCGTGGAAGCAGCCCACAGCTTCGACCAACACCGATCGATAATATCAAATTATGCTCTGACATTAGTTTCATGAATCAGGGAATGATAAGTTTTGAAGGCATATTGCCTTGCGATGAGTATCGTAATGACACAGGTCGACTTCACCCGAATGCTGCCGTAGAGGTGGATCCGAAAAATATTTCCTAAACTAGCGGGTCGTCAGGGAAAAGTGCTTGTGGAGAGAGAATTGAGGCGTTCTGCGGTTCCTTTAGTTTGCAAGAAGACTCGGGCGTTTGAAACATAAGTTATTCTCGTCTGAAAGCTAAAAACCGCTAGCGATTTAACCACATAACGGCGTCCGTAGCCATCGAAAACATTTCACGAACGGAGGTAAGACTATTCGCGAAGTAGTAGACCACACGCAAATAGAGACATTGCCACAATAAGGCCGCTGCCGCTTTTCTCGAAAATCTCCACACGCTGAGAAAATACCTCTAGAAGAAAGAAACCTCTCAGAAAAAAAAACCGCTGGCGATTTCTTCCATCTGCTCCACCGCTAATTGCATTCCTACTACTATATATAATCCGCTAAGTGTGTCTGTGTGTGTGTGTGTGTGTGTGTGTGTGTGTGTGTGTGTGTGTGTGTGTGTGTGTGTGTGTGTGTGTGTGTGTGTGTGTGTGTGTGTGTGTGTGTGTGTGTGTGTGTGTGTCACGAAATTCATAGCGAGCGTCGCAGAAAAGATAGGATGACAGTTCCAAGAAGTGATATACATGGCAGGACGGGAACACTTTTGGTGGGTGTCAGGAGGTGATAACTCTTGATAAGATACGATAAGGGGCCGTAGAAGGGGAGGGTGACTGAATTCGTAGCGCAAGTTGCAGCAGGTGTGGGACCGTGATTTCAAGGAGTGATATACATGGCAGGACGGGAACACTTTTGATGGGTGACAGGAGGTGATGACACTTGATAAGATTCGATAAGGGGCCTTAGAAGGGGAGGGTGACCGAAAGTGTAGCGCGAGTTGCAGCAGCTGTGGGACCTTGATTTCAAGGAGTGATATACATGGCAGGACGGGAACACTTTTGATGGGTGACAGGAGGTGATAACACTTGATAAGATTCGATAAGGGGCCTTAAAAGGGGAGGGTGACCGAATTCGTGGCAAGTTGCAGCAACGGCGGACCATGATTTCAAGTACTGATATGCCGTAGGGTGGGGCTGGCAGAAGCTGATAACAGTTGATAAGATCCGATAAGGGGCCTCGGAAGAGGAGGGTCATCAAATTCGTGGCGCAGGTTACAGCAACAGTGGGAACTCAGATCCGTGAGGTGATATAGGGTGTGGGACGGGAACATTATTGGCGGGCGACAGAAAGTGATAACAGTTGATAAGATACGGTAAGCGGCCTCGGAAGGGGAGGGTCATCAGATTCGTAACGCAGGTTACAGCAACAGTGGGACCTCTGATCCGAGAGGCGATACAGGGTGATATGATAGTGATACGGGACGGGAGTGTTTATTGCGGGTACGGAAGTGATAGGAGCTAAAATTGACAAGGTAGCATGGGAAAATCCGCTTCACCGCTCACAACAACAATGCGATCGATATACTCAAGTATAACGATCTCAGTGATTCCAACAGAACTCATTCCTCACTGCTTATTAGTAACGACATCGTGTACGACCGCTAAGCCAGCTCTATTCCAAATGCATGTGGTTTGTTTACAGAGATGTTATGAACAGCAGCAACTGACTTTATCACTCTTACCACAATTATCTTCCATCAGCAACTTCAGTGAGGGCCATTTAAAGGGTTCCACTGCTGAATGCGGTAGTGCATTCCAAAGCAAGACGCTTTAGGAAGACAGATTGCATAAATTATAGGCTGCTTCAGTGGCTGTCCAACAGGCTGCACTATTTCCGTGTGTAGGTTACGAACGTACCAGTCGGATCGCTGGCTAAGGCCGGCTTTCCTCCTTCTGTGATGCGGGGGGGGGGCGCTGCTGCTGCTTCTGCGCCTTGACGGAACAAGCGCTGCTTTTCAGTTCTTGGCTGATGCAGAAGATTCCTTTGAACAGTGTGGTTGGTCAACGATCCTTAACTTAGCACGCGGCAAATCCGCATGGCCCGGCGAAGCCGGGCCATGTCACAGAAGGAGGAGCGCCCGGCGACAGCCGGGCGATCCGACTGGTGGAATCATAAACGCGGTCGCGAGCGCCTGCTAGTCGTCAGTGTCTAATCCTCGTCAGAGGAAACATTAGAGCCGAAAAGAGAAGGGTCGCACCAAGACCCGCTTTTTCGACTCGTCGGGGGGGGGTCCGTACTTGACAACACGCATTTCATACATCACGATGTCTACACTTCACAACCAACTATAATAAAAACAGCTGCCCTATTTTGCGTTATTCTCAAAAAATTTGAAGCTGGAAAATGAGCTCATCACTTTATTGCCCGCCAGGGATACAGACACAATTCTCAAATTCTTTCATAAAGCACGGGTTCCAGAATTTCCAGAAAGAGACCACATCGAGTAGCCCGACGCGACTCTAGTCGCCTGTGATCTGAACCTGTGCTCTGAGTGGAAGGTGAATAGGGGAAGATCCGCTGTCGGGTATCCGCACAGCACGTCCTGTTGTTGGGGAGAATCGGTACTCTTCTCGAACCTGCCGCCTCTGGTACGAACCCCCTCTGATAGGAACCCTTCCCCTCCTACCTACCACTTGAATTTTCGCAACTTCCGACTACCTTCCCCACTTTTCAAAAAAATTCCCAGTTTTTTGCTGAAAAGAAACTGCCGTCGAGCGCAGGGTGGGGTACACGGCGCTGCAGCGCACTTGAAACAAAGAAAAACTAGACAGGTCAGCAAGGGGAACTAAAAGGCAAGAACAGCCTCCTCCCCCCTCCCCAGCAACCAAACAGGTACCCCTCGCTGAGGATCCCTACCCGTTTGACCTGCCCTAGTGCCCACACTCCTCACCTCCTGGAGCTTACAGGACTTTACAAAATTCCAGGAATGGTAATAGAAGTTGACAAAATCGGTCTAGTCAGCTCAAAATTGCTTTGTATTTATGTTCTTTTTGCAGCTCTTACTGAATATGAGCTCACTGCCTGCGAAGTCAAGTGGAAAATATCTAAGTAAAAAGTCAAAGTGCCGCTTTTTATTCAGCTAAGGCCGCGTTCATACTTTGCGGCAGCGTCTACCAGCGGCCATTGGCGTTTCGAACATTCTTCAACGTGCACCCAGGAAAGTATAAACATCGATCTAGCGAGCGCACCGTCTAATAGCTTCCAT